TTCACTGCAAATAAGTGATTTCAAGTTTCCTGATTTTCACTGAAAAAACAGCTCTACTGTATACAACAACTAATACAGGTCAAGAGGGATTTATTGCTAGATATGTATCTTCCTGTATCACACAATATACTCTGTCAAGTCTGTCTATACATATTTGCTCTGTAGGATGAAGTTGTAAAGATTCACTGTAGTGTGCTGGTACTGACTAGCAGCCATGGTGCAAACATAATGATGAAAGCTTTCTATACTATTGGGCCACTTATTTGCATATATATTGCTGCAGTTTAAACCAACAACCTGTTACTTATTTAAGGAAATCAAGCAGATAAATAATTACCAAAAGGAGAAAAACTACATTCATCAGACCCTAGGAATCAGATGCAGCTAAGAATTTTACCACTATAAATCCTACTTTGATGAAGTCAACCATAAATATCAGTTCACTACCCATTCAGCAAGCACAGTTTTCATGTTCATAGACTATGCTTACTGACTCTTTGCTAATGAGATATGCATTGCACATACATTACTTGCATTCTATCCCCAAGGAGCCGCCATATTTTATTTTTATCATCTAGAAACATGTTGCACACAAGGGACACATTTGCTTTAAAGCATACACTTAGTACTCAAGGATGCATCAATATTACTTATCTTAAATCGGTGATTATACCCATTGTAAGGATCTTCTTCATCATGAGTATGATTTCTGCCTCTCAACAACAAAATACCAAGCTACTGTAACAATTAAGCCGTGTCTATCTGTATTCTGATTTAGTTGTTTTTTATCAGTTTCCTCCCATTTGTTTTCACTAGCTAGTAGAGTTGTAAGGAGTATTCATACTCACTTTTACGCACTTTTAATAGGAATGTCTTAGGGCATCAAGACATCCCATCGAAAAAATGACCAGCAGCTATGAAATTTCTCTATTTTATGTGCAAACAGAGATAATATACAAAATAAATATTAAATGGAATCTTGGCTGGAATGTATCAATAATTTTAAGAGGTTACAGTGTAATTTGCTATACAAGCACACGAATAAGCAAATCAGAAATAGAACATTAATGATACCACTAATGTGTCTGACCAAAGATCATATAACACATCAACTGGAATACGAGGTGAAATCTTAGATTTCAAGAAGGTCAGACTGAGGAGCAAAATCCCTGCTATAGCTAGAGACTATTCCAGGGTTTCAGCTTGCATGCAGGTCCTCTGCAAGGGAAATGGAGTCTCTCTTCTTTGGTCACATGGAGATCCATTATGATGACATTCATGACTAGAAGGCATTTGTTTCAATTCCATTCTGGGTGCTCAAATAGGATTACTATGGAAAATTAATCTTGGGACCAGATACGATGCACACAAAGTTGCCATTCAAAACACCTCCCCTTGTAACATTTTCTCCTCTGTCCTTGCCATATACTTCTACTTGCTCTGATGTACAATAGTGCATTTACTATATCCTATGTCCCATGGATTGCCAATGATATAAGGGCAAGGAAATTTATGATGTGGTATTTTCTCCTCTCATTGACCTTCTCGTAAAGCCCAGGCAAAGCATTCCTCTTTACCGGGCTTCTGGAGAGGAAAGAAGGAGCAGTGGTGCAATTCTGTCACTCTGTGTCCAACTTCCTCTCAGTGACACTTTCTCCAGTGGAGCCAGCACAACACAGGAAGCCTCCCATGTTGCTGGGGAATTGTCTGGTGATGCTTTCACCCCAGTTGGAGGAGGGGCTTCCACTGGAAGCTCCCTTGCATGTCCTAGGATGCTAAAATCACATCTGATGAGGTGGTAAAAGAAAAAATGGGATTCTGGTAGGGATGCTGTAGTTGGAGAAACTGCATGAAGGATATGTGTGTGTGTTGCCCTGATGGCCTAAAGAGCTGGATCCAACTTTGTATGTCCATGAAACTATGTGCAAGAAAAAGGGGGGAAATGAAACATAAACATGTTTCCTGGTCTAGGAAACAGGGCATTCCTATAATGAGGTATAATTTGGTCTTGACTCTTTCTTCTCATGATACTATCTAGAATTGGTTGTAAGCAAGGGAGGGAAATTAGTGTAAAACCTATAGTCCTTCAGATGCTGGGTTATAGTGCCCATTTGTGACTATTAGCCATGATTTACGGACCAATGAATGATGGAGTCCAGCATCTTTTGGAAGGTGAGCTATCATCAATGCTTGCATTTTCTTGAACTGTACATGTTTCATAAGACCTTTTGTCTGCCAACCCACGAAGTAACACGCGAGAATAAAAGACACAACAACAGTAATTGGATTCAAATTGGGCAACTTTTATTTAACGTTACCTATTTAAATTCCTTAACCTAACTSAAGGGTGTAAGGAACTGGTGTAACCTAACCCAGGTAGTAACACTACCCGATAACAACAATTTCCGGGCGAAGCACCTGGGTTTCGGTAAACAAACCGAATTACCCACAAGGGAAAGGAATAAGGAGTCTCTTCCAGAGCTCTTGTATCGAGACTCCTTCCAGTTAAAGGCCATTAACCTACCCCTCACCCAACATCTATAGGTGAGTGTATTAACTTACCGGCCTTTCACCCCTTAAAGGGGGTGCCCTTGGTGCACACCGACTAAAGGAATTACCCTATCTATTWACGCCTGGCCTATTTAGKYCATAGCTCACCWRCTCCKTCTAGCCCCTAAACAGTATAGGGTAGGCAAAAAACCTCCCCRATAAAACAAGAAGAGGAAAAAATTCCTACCCGGTTCCGCKGGCAACCACYAATTATACTGTTAATGGGCGGGAGTGGTGGGCAACTTCCAGGCGTGGAATGAGCCTGAGCGGGGGCATGGCCTGACTTCTCAGGCCACGCCCCCYGCGTTCTGGAGAGTTCTTCAGAACTCTCCCTGCCTCGTGGGAGGCAGACAAATCCTGTTTCCTCTCCCCACTTCCTGGGGAGATGAAACCTCTTGTTTATAGCAGTATCTATATAGGAACCATTCACACTCACATTAAAGTATYCAAATACATTTAGTTGAACTCATGATAGAATATGACATTACCCTGTGATTGGCTTAACATCTATTCTATTGTAATATAATAACCAGAGAACAATGTAACTCAGAGACACATTGTTGCTATTTATGTATGTTACTATGGATGTGTATTTTTGTGGATACAAATGGGCATTAAATGTGACCCTAGATGCTGCTTTTTAATTTTAACATAACAAGGTTAACACACATACGCACGCACGTGTGTGTGTGTGAAAGATACCAAATAGAAATTATATGAAAGCTGCATTTTCTTTTGTGAAGCTGCAATATCCTCCTGCAACAGCTTTCTAAATATGTAGATAGAATTATGCATACATTTTCAAAAAGCAATTAATGCTGATGTCTCTTTCTCTTTCATAAATGTTACCTAAATAAACTTACAACAGCACCAACAGATTCTGCTAGGTCAAATTTTCAAGGTTATTTAATACCACTGAAAATTCACAAATAACCAAAAAAGGAAAAAAAGGATGCATTGAGAATTGAACTTTGTCCTTTACAGTTGTATCTCTTTCCTCTTGTAAATACTCTACAATGGAATGGAAATTAAGATGGAAAAATGTGAAATTATATTGAACACTTTTATTTATTTTAATTAAAGAAAAAGGATATGTGACATAACTTTAGGGCAATTATATTCTTGTCTTTTAAGTTTACAGAAATATGCCCCTTTGTTGGATTTATCCAGCCATATCCTGTAGTTTTTTGAAGTATATCTAAGGCACTTGTAAATTGTGGTCCAAAGGGGAGCTCCTTATCACAGAATCTCAATTTGTCTCACCCATTTAGATAATAGGCTACCTAGTAAAACAAATTCACCACGGTTTCATACAATAAACAGCAACATATGACTTCTTGTACTTTTACCACTCCAAACATGACAAAAGCAAAAACTCTGATCTTCATAGGGACGATGGAAAATGAAATGGACCTTTAATTTGTTTCTAAGAAAATGTGATTTAGTTGAAAAATGTCATTGTCAATATATTATAAATGTAAATAAAATAACTGCACCTTAACATACATTTACTTTTGCACACTCGAAAGTACTCATGTACTTGTTTCCCAATCAGACCCATGAATTGCTGTAGCACATCAGAAGTGTGTCAGCTGATTTTCCTGATAGAAGAGGTCATATATTATTTATCTGGAAAGATGCATTGAGGGAATTATCTCAAGCCATTTAAAAGGATATCTGAAAAGTAGGTACCGCCACAAGTCAAATCAATATCAAAGTGTAATAGATGTGACCTTTTCAGATTAAAATCAGGAGTAACTCTGTGGTGTGGGAGAAGAGCAGGAATGCACATGTTGAAGAAGGAAATAAACGGGATGAAAAGGAACTATTTGCTTCAATAGGCTGCAAATGATATGTTCTAAGAACAATTCTGAAACTTGCAACATTTTTTTCAACTGTTCTCTTGTCTGCACTGGCAAAACCTTGAATCTGTATTTATTTTTTAAATCCTTTACAACACACTTCTCAGAAGAATGTCCCACTAATTTTGGTGGGCCTGGTTTCTAGGTGAATGAGAACAACATAGTACCCTCATACTATATCATTTTTTCCTTGTGTTAAAAACTCAATATTGCTAAACACAGAAAGTGTTTCTTTAAAGAGAGGTAACTACTGTATTCCTTCAGTTGTAAGACACACTCTAATTTCATTACTACCTCCACCAACAAAAATGCATAAGATACACCTGTGATTCAAAGGACGTCTTAGAAGAAATATAATTCTCCTTTCAAAGTAAATACACTACTAAATAAATATAAATAATAAAATAGTTTAGGAACACTTAAACAAGGAATGAAAATAAGAGCTGACTGAAATACATGCATATGTGATATATAACATAATAATCCTTTACACAATTAGCTGGGAGAAAACAATGGGGCTGACTTCTGAATAGATGTTTAGGATTGCACCATTAATCTGTTGAGCTTTTGAGGAAACAAAACATTTACCTTTCCCACGTACTGAGGTTCGGAGCCCATGTATTCTTCCAGCACAAAGAACTGATTCCACACCCAGCCTCGCTTGACCCGCACGGCGGGCATCCTCCGTTCTGGTGTTGTGGCAACATTTCCCCTTGGTTCAGCTTCTAAAGTCTGTTGTGGTTGTGGTGTTAAGAGACCTCCATCGAACAGGACCCAGAGAAGGAGGGATAAGCAGTTCCTTGTAAGCATTGGCAATGGTTTCCCTACAGCAAGTAATTAAAAACTCCAACACGGAATGATGAGTTGAAGAATCCAGGTTTGAGGCTGTCCGAGGGCCTCCACCACTTAGCTCCGGATTTTTTTATTGCCGAAATGCTAATGCAGACATTAATCCTTCTGGTGGCAAGGTTTCTGCTGCATTAAATTCCATCTAAAGAGACCTATAAAAAAGATTTATAGGGCAAAATGAAATTATATAAAATCGCACTGAAGTATTCATCCAAATTCTCTCACACCTAGTTATTTTCTAGCAAGCGTGAGCAAGATTGAACCACAGAACAAAGCTCCAAATAGTATTGAGTTTTTATGCTGGAGATCTGACTTGCAACACAACACTGCACAGTAACTATAGGACTGCTTCATTCTGTTTCTGTTTTGTATTATTTTACTGTCTGCTTGAAGAGAAGCATACAGTTTGCCCTTTATGGCCCAGTTATAAAATAAAGCTGTTACACACCAGTGAATTCAGATATTATTTACTTGGGATTCATATGTGGGGAAAAATACAAAACAAAACAAAACACCAGGAGCAAGAGTAGACAAATTTTATCATTAGATTTTTTGTGTTGCTAATGTAAATATTAAAATGGGGTAGAGAAAAGCCAAAAACAGCCTTCTGGTCCTTTTAAAATAAGAGGAATAAATATATGATTTTGCAGATAGTGTAATTATTTACAAATGGGCAAATTCTTTAGAGCTAGATGAAGGCCAGCAGGAGCTAATAATGTGGCACAGTAGCAGAAAACCATAATGTTACATGAGAAGGCAATTTGTGAATAGAACTCAAAGATATGAAGAACTCAGAATAGTGCTGCACACTGAAAACTAAAATATTTTGGAGGACAAAGAATTGTGCCCCATTTTTCTATGCTGCACTGCACAATGTTGTTTTTACCTCCTGCCCTGTACAGTTATGTCATTAGACCTCATTTTGCATTCTGGCTGAAGGAAATGTGAATGAGAGAAAGCACTATATTTGCTGTGTTAACCCCATAAAAGGCTGTTAACTCCATCAATGGATGGCATTCTCTGCACCACCAGGTTATTAGGTGACTCCTTTCCTCCAAACCATGTGCAGGAATCATGCAACCCTCTAGACCAGTGGTGTCAAACTTCTGGTTCTCCAGGTGTTTTGGATTTCATATCCCAGAATTCCTAACTATTCAACAATCTATCTAGGACTTCTAGGAGTTGGAGACCCAAACACCTGGATGGCCACCAATTTGACACTTCTGTTCTATATGTTAATGGACTGTAACTTCAGATATCTCTCACCCCTGAACGTACTGGCTGGAACTAATGTGACTTGCACTCTAATAATATCTAATTCATGCCCATGCTCCTAAATAATTCAGAAAAGGGGTATAGTGTTCAAGAAACAGACAAAGCAAAAGAGATCTCTCACTTCCTACATACTTGATCAATTTTTCCCACCTTTAGCACAACAGTGGGGATAGGAAGGTATCTCACTTTACTGATCACCAAGGGAAGGAGGCAAGTATGACTAATGTCTTCGTTTTCTGGGAGAAGAGGAAGAGCTGAGTTTATTTAAGTTAGTTCTGCCTCCCTCTAATGCTCTTTTAACTTTGTTGACTCATGCTCCCTCCTCCTTCCATAGTGGAAGTCTTCTGGTCATTTTGGTACTAGATATGACACCCCTACCCCCCCCCCCAGGTTATTGTTTTTCTCTACCCTTTACTGTCATAGAGGACTTGATAATCAGTTGCAAGTATTGTTTTACATAGGCACTGGCAGGTTTTTAGGGAAGATGTGAGTTTGTTGAGAACCTTTGGTGAAGCATAGTTATCTGGAACTGCCCCTGAGTATTATTTGATTGCTGTCCTTGGGGGTAGTCCCAGAGTTTTCACCCTCTCTATGGGCCAAGAGGTGCCTTGAAGGTTGACAACTTCAGATCAGCCTTCCACCCTGTCAGCTGGCCTAGCAGCGACCCAGTCTCAGTGTTTTTACTCAGGGGTAGTTGGGAAGTATAGGTAAGATGAGACCAAGTGCTTTGGCTGCTCCCACAACTGGTTGCTTCTTCCTTTCAGTTTTTGCTTATCACTAAAGACATTTAAATAAGTTATAATGAATAAAGTTCATCCCATATCTGCTATCTGGTCTCATTTGTCAGCATTGGTTTGTCAGCAGTCTGATACATACACTCCAGAGTCCGGGGGTCCTCAAACTAAGGCCCGGGGGCCGGACACGGCCCTCCAAGGTCATTTATCTGGCCCTCGCTCAGGGTCAAACTAAGTCTGAAATGACTTGAAAGCACACAACAACAGCAACAATAACACTGTCTCATCAACCAAAAGCAGGTCCACACTTTCCATTGAAATACTAATAAGTTTATATTTGTTAAAATTATTCTTCAATTGAATTATTGTATTGTTAACATTTTTTTTTTGCACTATAAATAAAATATGTGCTTTTTTCAAATTATAATCCGGCCCTATAACAGTTTAAAAAGTTTAAGGACTCCTACTCCAAATTGTGTGGCAGCAGGGCAAAACCATCGCCCAGCGCTCTGCATCGCCCACCATACATCAGAAGTGTACCTTTCTGGTATTCTCCCGCACTGTCCCCATGATTTCCTATCTGAACAGGGATAGTTTCCCATGTTCAGATTTCTCTCTCATAGTACATTTTGCCAATATAGCCGGCACGGAGCCCTGTCAGAAGTAGATGTGTGTCATGTGATGAGATCCAGCAGGCTCGTACCAACTGCATGAGTGAAGTGTTCGACAATGAAGAATTTTCCGCATGTATTGAGCTCCTCAGACTGCATGGTACCTAAAGAATGCAAAAACCCAGAGACCAGCCCCAAGGGCAGTAATTTTCCGAAGTTCTGGATCACATAATGGGAATCAGGGCCAATTTCAGATTTCCATACTTCACAAAATATGTGCCAGAAGGTGCTCCCTGAACTCACATCTCTCCCCCCCCAAAAATCTGCCAGTGAGTTCCATCATCCTTAGCCAATTGCAAAGTTCTCTGTGATAGTATAGAATGCGGGATAAAATCAACCTTTTAATGAGGGGGTGTAATTACTAGTTCACCCTGAAGTACCCAGATGATTTATACTGTGAAAGGAGATGGGAGGATGGGTTGACGTGATCCAGAATAAGGGGACATGGAGGCATAGCTGCCAGTCATAAGATAGCCAATGCCTGACCTCTTATAATCTTGGCATGGGGTGCCAGGACACAATTCAAACTGGTCTACAAAGTGATATCCAGATGCTCCCCCCACCCCCCACACACACCATTGAATAAAGGCTGGTGCAAACCATATATGCCTGCACCACTCAAACACTGATAGAAGAAAATATGACTTACTAGTCTTTAATGAGAATCTAACATTTGAAAAGCAAGGCAAGCATGCCTTAGATTGCCTACAGGATCAGCCTTATTTCTAAGAATAAGGAGTGAATACAACATCGTTTATTTAAGAATACCTAATACAAAGGAATTATTTGAGTAACTTGATTCTGTACACACACCTTAAATTATTCCCCTCTTCTAAACCAAATAGCAATGGGTAAGTGTTATCCTATAAGAAAGTGAGGGAATGTTTCCTGTATCAACCCTTTACAGAATCTGGCAGTGTTGTCTCCTTTGGCTGATAATAATGGCATTTATGGTCCAACACATCTTAAGGTGCCAGATTGACAAAGGCAGTTGCAGAAATGTTCCTAACCCTCCTACCTCTATGCTTTCCTCAAATTACGACAATGCTACCAGTTGAATCAATATGTGGCAGGGGAGCAGCACAGTGTGAGATTGTCTTGAGATTGTTTGAATTAGCATGAAGCACCATGTTTCCTTCCTTTCATTGGGAATGAAGAAGGTTTCACTCTGCCATTTTTTCCATTAGCAAACACAGCTAGCTATGCAGTTATTCTTGTAATAAATAATGCTGGATCAGAGGGACTGATCTGATTGTCATGAACTCTTTTTAAGTTGCGGTTGTGGGGGCTGCGATGATGAGCTCAATATTTATCATTCAATTAAACTGGTATACAATGCCTCATGAATCTTCTCTACTTCTCTATTCCACGTTTATCTCAGTAAAAATGGAGTTGGAATCAACCACAATACACTGTCTACTTGGACCCACAGTTTGGGTATTACCTGGAGCCAACTTTTTTTGAAATCAATCTCCTTTCAAAATTCTACAATCTATTTGTATATCAGTTGCTTACATTAAAAGCTTTGCCTTTACAATATTGGCTACTGGGTAAACAAACATGTCTAAAATTTCAAATTCTTGAATACAAAATACAAAATGGTTCACATAGGTGGCTGAGATAATTACATGTTTGCTTCTGAAATTTGAGTATTAAAAAACCCTTTGTTTCATGCACAAAATCATTAAAATTAAAAATATTGTATAAAAATATCTTCAGGATGTGTGTATAAGGTGCATTTGGAACCTAAATGAATTTCATGTTTAGACTTTGGTAGCATCTCCAAGAAATCTAATTATATACAGATATACATATATTGCACAAGTATTCCAAATCCAAATAATAATAATAATAATAATAATAATAATAATAATAATAATAATTTTTACAAATCAGAAATCCCAAATACTCCTGTTTCCAAGCATTTTAAACAAGGGATACTCACCATGTACATGCACATACACACACACACACACATTGTTAAAGTATTTCCAGAAGTTATGTTTTCCTTTCTAATTATATAGTGCTTATCAAAAGTAATTATCCAAATATTATTTGCTAGTTCAGGCTGTCTTGTTTTATCATCAAGGATAAATAATTGGCATTTTGAGAGAAATCTGACTTCTAAGGACAGAGGAAAGGAAGAAGAAAGAGACATAATCTACAATGCCATTTATGCCCAGCCTGAAACAGGAGAAAGGTTTTAATTTCAACAGCCAAAATCAGTCTCCCTTTTTTCTTGCCCTGAAACTGGTTTGTTTCAAGATCTAAAGGGCAAACGGAAACATTTGCACAAAAAGAGAGGGAAAAACGATGAGAGATTAATAAAAATGAGAGATTAAAGGGCAATGAAAATGTAGTTAAAGTGACTGGCTGATCCTTGTATTCAGAAAGGATTAACGTAGGGTAGTGCTGGCAGTAAAGAAAGTTAATATATCTACTATATAAAGTTTAGAGTTTGTAGGAAGACTT